GTCACTCTCTCTCTCCCTCCCTCCCTCCCTCACTCCATCAGAACCTCAGAATCTCCAGGAGGGATCTGCTAATTCTAATGATTTTACTGTCCCGTAAGATATGCCCATCCGCTCTCTTGAAAAGTAGGGTGGGGGTAAACACCCACAGCCAGGCGGCAACGCCGGCACTGCAGCTGGTCACGTTGCCGCATCGCAGGTGGCATAGGCCGCGGAGATTACACAGCGCTCTGAGGACATCGTCGACCTGATGGACCTGCCACTTGGGGGTCAAGGTTGAGGTTGTGGCCACTGGATGTAACCACTACCTGGGATACAAACATGGGAATTTAACCCCCATAACTGGGATAGAAGTATCTATAAGTATGCTGGTTTCTGGTGAACGGTTGTACAATATCATGATCACCTAGTGGTGGAACTGCACCCCCAAGCATGAAGCCCGAAATTGAATAACGAAAATTCGCTGAATGTTGCTGGAAAAAAACTAGTGTTTCAAACTTTCTTTTCCGTGCTTCGACAGAGCATTTGTTGGGGTTCCAAATCTGTGACATTTTGAGGGCCTTCGTATCAAATTCAACAAATGAATGCCGCTTCTGATATCTTCTGATGGACAGCTGTGATCTTGACCATGCATCACTTTATCCAAAACCCCTCGAAGCCATTAAATTATAGTCATCCCAAAATAGATGGAAAAGTAAATCATCAGATGAATAGGGATTTGCCCAATTCCATCTATACATTTGGGGATGACATGAAAAATCGATAGAAAGACTGGTGGCAACCAGTTTTCCAATGACAATCACCGGACTTCGTGCTTGGAGCTCACATATTTTCCACCCAATCTGCAGGTGCATATTCAGTAAATTTGTCATTCCATGGACAAAATCATGAACATATGTGTGTAATATAGTTTTATCCCAGCGAAAAAAAATAAAAATTGCAAACATGCAGAAAAGGTGCTGGCAAGCACAGCACGCTTCACAAATCTCCAGCTTACGATCTGACCACGGGCTGACAGCATTTATAATTCGGTCCTTTCTTGAAGCGGCAACCAAAGCAGGACTGAACGTGCTGGAAACTGATCCTCTAAAAATTAGGGACTTTCCACAGCATCGTCCGAGTTTCAAGTCAAAAGTCAAAAGGTTCAGCTGTGGCAGTGGCAAATCATTTGGTACATGAATCTCTCAATTACCAGAAACATGTCTCTTTAGTTCTGTGTGCAGTCTAAAGGCCCAAGACCTCATTAAACCCTGGGACTGGCCGTTAAAAAAAAAACACATTTCTAGCTGGTGCAGTGGGCCCAAGGCATGCTTGAACTCCAGCAACGTACAGGGGATCCAAGTGGATCTTGGATGGCAAACAAGGAGCCATCCCCTTCGATCAAACTCCGAATCTTCAACCACTGAGGTTGCGTACATCTATTGCCAAGTTGGACCGGAGAACATCTGTAACAGAACGTGCACAGCATCTGCGGCCCAAGGATACATCCTGGCATTTTCCTTGAACGCTTTAATTTTATGGTGCCACATGAGGCAGCTGGCGCCACATGTGACGGGGACGCAGCTGATGCACGCAACTGACACGGCGACAGTGGCATTTGCACGACTTCGGACTCAAGGATTGCACAAGCGGCAGCTGGCACGCTGCGTGGCATTCTCTAAGCAGCTCTGAATTAGATGTGCTCAGTTGCCTGGCTGCACTAGGGCCACATCTTGTCGTTATATGTTACAGTGGTCCTGGGTTATTGGGTCTTTAAAAGTACTCATCCATGTTGGTCTGGAGATGCATGAGGCACAAAAAACTGGTGTGATCACAGATCTGATCTCGTGGGCGTCACTCCAACATCAAGTTGCGTTTGAATCACTACACGTGGCTCACTGTCGAAACAAACACATGGTATTCAGGAACATCCAACTTCTAGAAGCATCAGCAAACGGAGTGCACAGGGAAGCTGCAAATCTGTGTTTTTCTTCAAGAGTCAAAATTATCCTGCAAGACTCTGCCTCAATCTGGTTCTTGGCAAAAATTCTGGGGGCCAACGGACTCACAAGCTTGGCAATGTTGTTCTTTTAAGTGAAACTGTAAAAAATATTTTTTTAAAAAAAGAGGGACGCAAGATTTTGACCCATACCCAACTCTCTGTATCAATTTGGGTTCCATCTGAAGCAAAGTTCGTTTCTCAAAGTCTCTCGGCACCTGGCTTGTGGATCAGACATCTTTACCCCTTCACTGTAGGGAAAGGGATCAAGCCATTGCATGGTGGTTGTGGCTTCCAAGAATGGCGCCATAAAATGCAATGGGATTCAGACCTCCAGGGCTAGATGCGAGGCACCGGCATGCAAAATACACGTTGCTACATCTCGGGGCCTGGTGGGGTAGCAGCCACTCTTTTTTGGTTATTTTCAAGGTGCTGCCAGTGTTGGCCCAAAGTTTGGACATTTTTTTGGACAAAAGACTAGGAGGAAGGTCTAGCTACGGACGCGTCGCTAGACCCTTGAGCGGCTGATCAAGCACTGCCAGCGCCTTAAACCCCTCTGGCTGTGAGTTTCTGACCCTTCACCATCCTCAGTGAAACCGGCTCATGCAGGGGCCTTCAGGCATAAGGGTCTTGCATCATGTTTGGGCTGCTATCGGGATCTTAAAGATTTTGGGGTTCAAGGGTGGGTCCTAGGGCGGTTGCTCTTTTAGGCCTCATGCCTCTGGGAAAGCCGCCAGCAGGACCACATTTCTTTCACACTCCCTCAACCTGACCGCGAAGTGCCACATTGATCAGAAGGGAAAGCCTCAGCTTTGGTTGCAAAGGAAGCCTCTGCACTCTGGATGTTACAGGTCTTTAAAAATATCCAATCCAACGGCAATGTGACTGGGTTTGACCAATGTCATAGCTCGAAGAATCATGCCAGATCTAGGTATCTAGTTTGATGTGGCCTCCCTCCCTGAGTAATGAAAGTGACCCAGAAAAAAACAACCCAAACCACCCAATGATCTGTATAGTTGCTCGCGGGGTCCATTTGGTCTACATGTCTACCAGTCTAAGAAGGCTACCAGCGCCCATGAATAATATATATATATAATATAAATATATATATAAGAGTCCTGATAAAGCAAGGGGAGCATCTATCTATGAACAATTATCTATTAAATTCATTATATAAACTACTTCTGTACAACATATCCCAGGCTGTATTTCAGGCTATGAACCATGACTGAGGTTAACTATGAAGGTACTAATAATTGTCCAGAACTTTTGCTTGCTTCCCAGCTCTATCCACCGTTGCTGCCGGAGAAAGTGTGAGCTGTGGACCCAGGTAGTAACGTGAACAGACCTATCCACAATAAATGCTGGTATGCCAAATGGCAGCAGGAAAAATCGCACAATGCCCATGTCATTTTATGCCAATGAGAAAAAGGGCCGGAATAAGGCGGGCAAAATCTGAATTTTACTTAAAGCTGTCAGCTTACTGTCGCTTGGACAATACTACCAACAGCATCCTTAAACGAAGAAAACATTCAATTCAACAAAGTCAACCATAGTAGTGCCATAGTCAACCCTTCATTATTGGGCTTTGCCATTCAAATCCCAAACCAGGGCGGCCAGGTGGCAGCTGATTCTTCACCTCGGTGAAGTCTGATGTGAGGTGCATCGATTTTTTTGTGCCATGTGGGAGGAACCAGCTCTACGTTATAGAACTAGCACTTGTTTGCTTCACATGTGCATGAGACTGGAACTTGAAGAACATCTCCGGAGGCACCATTTGCTGCAACAAATCCAGTTTGAAATCCAGGAAAACAATCGCCATCCAACCACACCACCAGTAGAGCAGGTGGCAAATTTGTGCAAATTCGACCTGCAGAACTCCCAACCTCTTTAAGTTGCTTTCAAAACGAATCAACATGTACATGTTCATGTCTCACTCGATATCTCTGAATTGTTGATAGTGAAACATCTATTCTTACTAGTTCCCATGCATCAAACTGGCTGAGATCTCACATCACTGCGCTGGATCCAAAGGTTTCTTCATAAGCTGCTACACAACCCCAAATCACATCAACATAATGACGTCACCAAATACTCTGGTTCATTTTACGATCCAAGTTTTTGTTGGCAAATATCAGTTGTCTTGGCACAATCATCAAATTGAGGTTGTTTCACAACACTTTGAGATCGCTGCCAACTATGAAGATTTCATGGTCCAGCTTGATGCACTTCAAACAAAAAAGCCTTGATAAAAGTTTAAAAGGCTTGATACAACAGTATACAACACATTCCACCATGAATGTTTAGTATCCGATTTCGCCAACATATAGATCGTGATATCAGCTCTTCGCCCGTCTACCATCGTTCCAGGGTCAACTTAGCCTTGTCACATCCCCTGTGAAGGCGTTACGGCGTTGCCATCTTTCCTCGGCGCCGAAATGAACATCTTTACATCGCCGAAGACTGCCTGCAGAGAGGAGACCAAAGCAGGAGGGACAGTGGATGCCAACAAGGTTGCTTTAGCGAGGGGTTTTAAAGATCCAGGCTCTCACGAAATAGCTCTTAAGCTGATACCTCAATCTGGATCGATGTGTTACATATATATATAGATATAGTATATATATATGAGTATATATATATATATAAGTATATATATAAGTATATATGTATATCACTATAGTATATATATATATACAGAGTAAACAGTAGTGATATATATATATATATATTTATAGTTAAATATTAATAATATTTGATGATATTTGCCGATGAAAAATGAACTCCTTTGCTCTTGCCTGTCCAGTGCATCCCATCCCCTCATGGGGCCTTGGTGCATCTTCCCAGCAGAAGGTGAGCTTTGCAATCTGCCTGGTCTAGCAGCACATGGCTACATCGGTTGCAGTGTCAAACAGCAAACGTTACTTAGGAATACTTAGGACAATGACTTGTGCGAAAACCTCGCTGAATGACTGATTCTTCAGAAATTGGGCTCATGCAAGTCTTGAGATACTAAATATACTAATCTTCACTTCTTCTGGTCACTTGGAGATCTTTCAAGGCCATACCCCGAGGCACACCTTGGCAGTGGCAAAGACAGATCCTCCGCTACGAAAATGGCAGGCAAGCGCCGGGGCGACGGCGAGTATCTGAAGAGCGAATTCAAATGGCCGCCACCTGGAGCCGTCGGGGCTGACGGAGATCAGCTGATGGGAAACCGGGGAACCCGGAATGGGAACCTGGAGATGTGGCCAGTGCAGGAAGAAAACACACACACACAAATACACACAATATCACACAATTATACGTGTATATGTGCCGTTTTTGCGCATGAATACATTGACAATCATTGACATATGACTCATATGATGTAATCATTGGCTGGTTTGAGGAAAGAACACGGAGGTACCAAGCTTTTCACCCTTACAGCCCATGAATATGAGGCCGATGTTCATCAAGCTCTGGGCCAAACGACAGGAGCCGCCCTTCACCAGATGGAAAAAAAGGAGCATGTCCAGTGGAAGCATCAAGGAATCCATAGATTTCCTGTCCTGCAAAAGTTGCCATTCCAAACCACTGCTGGGATAGGAACAGGAACCCCAGCTATGCCAACGACTCAAGGAACCCAAGAGATCAGAGTCAAACGGCATCTTTATCCAACTTCATCCAATTCTTGTGTGCCTCCAAAAACATAGAACCGTTTTTTGTCTGACCTGGAATTGTGGGGAATTATAAAAATCTACACCATCCTGGAAACACTGTTGCGTCTTTTGTAGGGCTACTATAGATCGAAGATTAAAATCACCAGTGAGGTCGAACGGAGATAAGCTGCACTTGGTGCCGTCAGTCCATCCGACACATACTTGCCAAAATGGGCGCTTCGATCCATTCCAAATCGAGGCGTCTATGAAAGTCAACCGTCAATCCAAGCCAACGTCTCTTTCTTTAATGTGGGTCAAACAATGCCACAAACATCCATAAACCATCCCCCAGTCATCACCATTTTTATAGGTGGTTTGTTTACCATTCCCAGTCATGGGATGTCATGGGTGGTTTATGGCATTGTTTTACCTACATTAATGACTTTAGTGACCTCCCTTAACCGTCCATTTTCAATATGAAACCTTCAGTCTGAAGCCAAGTTGCCGCAGCTGCCAGGTGAGTGGAGCAATCCGAGGAAGAATCATCCTGACTTTTCGTCCCGAAAAGGCATCCCACATGGCCGGGAAATCCACGAACTAAATGAAGGTTGTTGGTTGGTTAGCTGGAAAATCCATGTTAGCTAAATGGGGTTGTTACATGGTGTTACCGCTCATTTACTGAAAATCATTTAAGTTGTCATTTAAGTAAACAAGATTAAATAAGTAAATGATGGGTTTTCCAGCAAGCCATGTTAGATTCCTGGAGGGTAATCGTTTAAGCACTGAAACTTCACATATGCAGATTTTTCAAGCCATGTCATAATAACCCGAGGATAACCGTCCAAGCACTCAAAAATGCAGAGCAATCCCGACTGATAGTTCATCCCTGTTGCGTGTTGCACCGTTACTTTCTAACAAAAAAAGGCTACACCCAGGGTCTATGTCTGCATACGTCCGCTTAACGCACTTGGGAATGAAATCAATGATCATGAATTTGAATGAAAGTCATTGGTTAGCTGGTTAAATCATATTGCGAAGTTCCTGCCAATGCATATGGAAATCCAAAAGTTGTGGTTTCATCAAACAATATGTGGATACTGGCGAATGTGGAATGTGGAACATCAAAGGGTTGTTGTAAACCAATAGTAAGCAACATAAGCTGGGAGTATGAACAAAACAAAACACAGAGTACCAGTAGATAGCCAATTAATTTGGTACTTGATTTTTGTGAATGGAATTGACAAAAAAAACAAATCAAGTAAATAGCAAATCAAGCCTCAAGTAACAAAAATTGGGGTCAAATATCTCGTGAAGATTCCAACATCTGGTGCAGAATCCGGTTATGGGATGGTCCCACAAAGTGTTACCTGTGATTGGTCCAACCTTTTCGCAGAAACTTTCCATACACCATACACTTATACACTTCCCATGTTAAGCGTTGTGTTTTGGGTTAAGATGGCCTTTCTATGGGTTACCCTCTGGTTAAACTAGCATAACTATGGAAAATCACATATTTTCATGAGGAAATCAACGCTCTCTGGCCATTTTCAATAGCTATGTTAGTTTACCAGAGGGTAAACAGTTAAACCCAACCTGTGTCGCATATTCCCTGCTAAACTTGACTGCTATCTCTCAGTCCTCAACGCCTGGCAATGTAACTCTAAAGCGCCGCAACTGAGTTGACTAGAAGATACTAGAAGGCTGTTGTCCATTGATCTATCCATCTGGCATCATCTGGGCAAATTATGATACCTCACTCCAATTTTGGGATAGTTACCCCAGTTACCCTAGCATCATTCCAGGCTTCGGTCGTCGTGGGGTCGTTATACCCAGATCATCCCAGATCCATCTGACATCGCACCGAGCTTCCACATCATCGTGCGACACGATTTCCACCGCGTACGGGGAACGGCTGAGGTCAACGGATAACTTCCGCGTCACGATGCAGTGGAGGAAACTCGGCAGCCGGATGGGCTCCATGGCGTCGCCTGAAGGTCATGCGGTTTTTCTGTCCGTCGGATCTGGTGGATTTATGTTCCCGGGACATCCCGACATCTTGCCTTGAAATTTAAGACCATGCACGTGCAGTAATTCAAACAGGAGAGATCTTGCCAAATTGATGGCTTCTTAGCGGACTCCCTCTTGATATTATATTACTTTGGAATCTTGAAGTGCAAAATTCAAAAGCACTCTATCAAGCACAAATTTTCCCCAACAAAATGTGAAAAAAAAGGCGGGAGTGGGCACGCCAACGTTTTTTTTTTTAATTAGGTGTTCTAGTTGACATCGTCAAGCACTGTTTTTAAAGCTTCTTATTATTGGTCTCCTTACGTTCATGAATTTACTTGGGAGTACCACCTAATCAAATGGCGACCCCTCTGTCCCCTCAAAGAAAATACACACTCTCAGAACAACAAACAGCATCTCCTCTGGACAAATATATTGAACATCTTATATGGCGACCCCAGCCTTCGATTTGGTGAGTGCAACTTCCCTAAAAAACATACAGTCAATGGGGATCATCATCCCAAAAACTGTTAAACATAACTATCATGTGGAAACGGGACATTCTTACTAGCTCCGGACATCTCCCCATTTAATAGGGAATATGGATACCCCCGGCTCCTTACAGTAGCTTCCTCCAAACCATGGGATAGATTTGGATGGATACAGACTAATGTGGGTAAACCCATCAATGTCATAAACCACCCCCCAGTCATCACCTGGTTGGTGGTTTTAACAATCTTGAAAAATATGAAAGTCCATGGGAAGGACTATCCCATATATTATGGAAAATAAATGTTTGAAACCACCGACCAGTCACCAAATTTATAGGCTATTCCCAGTCATGGCTGGTTTATGGCATTGTTTTACCCACATTGAAACCACCAGGCGCCTGGTCCCATCAAGCAACACGTCCCTCCATTCCAGCTGCAAGCCTTGATTTTGCGCTGTGACAGTAGGGCTGAGCCGGGTTCAACAGCCAGCCGGGCCCCAAAAGCCATGGGTTTCCCCCAGTGCCTTTCATGAAATTCTTAATTAATGTAGATTTCTTTATGATTGATTTACTGTACATACTGGTTGAAAAGAGTGTGAGGTTTCCTGCTTGAAACCAATCCATTGACGATGTTGTCAATTTAGCCCTATGATATTGAATATCTTATCTGCTCATATGGATACTTCATAAGTCAACTCGTGCATTGTGATATAAATGTTCGTGATTTTGGTTGAGATCTGGTCATGAGCTGGCCGCAACCAGTCATGGAAGTGGTGGAAACCAACGGAAACCAACGGACCAAGTCAACGCAGGGCATGTCACATGGCATGTGGGTACCCTCCCTTCCGCTTGCCCTTAGTCCAGCCGTCCAGCCCTAATTGCCGGTGGTTTCCCAGATATTTTTTGCCATGGGGGACCGCAATTCACCGAAGGGAATCAACCATTGCAAACCACCCCTCAACCACCCCTCAACCAACCACGCACCGTGCGCAGCAAGCTCAGCAAGCAACCCCTTTGGATCACTGACCTTCCCTGCGGTCTACAGCAGCGACAAGGATGGCAACTTCTTTGCCACCGATGGCGTTGGCTTCTGTTTTCTAAATCTGGCGGCCTTCGTCAATGGAATGATGATGTGATGGTCTTGCCAGGTTGACTCAGCTATGAAACACAAAATAACATCAAATCATGTTCCCGTGTATCACTGTTTTCATCGAGTCGCCTGCTTTTGGGGGACCAAATGGGACAAATCTAAGTACCTCAACCAAACAAACAACAGTTTCCTGGTTTGCGGCTTGCTCTTGGCCAAAGCCTCGACATCAAAAGAGCCACAAGATGTGCTGTGCGCTGTGGGGATGAATGGTTTTCCCTGTCTTTGCTAAGAAACCACCTTTGTATTCGATGACTTGAAAAGAATCATATCATATGTTCAATAAGCCTCGATCCGTTTCCAACATAAGTATCCAACACTTGGAAAGTTCCCTCTTGAAGTGGGCCATTGTGTCACAACTGGCTAGATTCGGCTAGACTGGGTAGGATTCAAAAAATATTCTCTGGCTGGCAGTTTTCAACTTGAGGAGCTGCGTTTTTTTCAAGAACAAATGTGACAGGTTGGTTGCTAAGTCTGACAGAATCCCCACCTTGGACATCCCATGACCATCTTGCTATGGCGAACATGACCTTCCCACAACCTTTTTCAACGCGGCAGAGTGTCTTTCCATCTCCGGTGCCATTTCTGGCTGGGCTTTTGGCCACCCATCCCGATGATCAAACGTGGTGGTCTCTTGGGGTGACCTCTTTCCATGACCTTCCCTCTGAATCATCATGATCTCAAGTAGTTTCTTGATCCTGTCCGTCACAGGTCTTTGAGATCCTGACTTCATCTCCACTATCAAACCGTTTCCTGCAGATTTTCCGTTGAACCAATCCATTGATATACTTGTTCTATCTTGTTCTCACCTTGTCCTTTAGGTTGAACCGTTGAACCCACCCATATCCACCCATTTTCTTTAGATTCCCTCACCCACTTCTGATCTAATCATATCGAACCAGAATCACCATATCATCAATGGGAATTTCAGGATCCTAACATGGAGGTACTGTACCATTTTTGAGGCCATATTTTGTGGGGATATTCCCTTATACATAGGCCTTACATAGGCCTTATATATAGTAGGTACCTCCAATTTAGATTCCTGAAATGGCCAGTGATATCAATTCCGCCATGTCTGGCAGTCATCTGTGAAACCTTCGCCCGGTCGACGACCGCCGACCGCATCACCTGGCTCAAGTCTCCGAGCGCTCGTCTAAGAGCTTCCGAAGGCGTCTCACCTGCGGCAGTTTCGGATGGGGATTCAAGCGCAACAATAACGAAAAACACTGGCAAAACAAAAACAGGGATTTATGTTGATTTATTGTTGAAATATGTTGAAATCATGCTAAATTCTCATTCATCTCCAATTTCTATCCCTGCTTTTCAGTCGTTTCAATCCTTTTTCAAAAACTCTCACTTAAAGCCGTGCTGCTTTTTCCCCAACGACGTGCCCCACGGCAAACCAACCTCATCCAGATTTCCCGACTGCGCCGTTAGCCGTTGAAGAAGAGCTTCGGCCTCAATCCTGTCCCAGTTTTGATGGGTGAAACCGACGTGAAACCGACGTGAAAAGATACGATTGAAACGGTGAAACCAACAAAATATACGACAATAGTAATATGATCCACGGTGCCGGAACTGTTGACATTTTTAACATTTACTCCAAAGTTCACCTAAATGTATGGGTATACGGTAAAGGTAAATAGCTAATAAATACCAGTATACATAGAGCATCTGGGATATGAGATGTACTTGGATAGAAATGTCAGGACTTAAAAGAAACCATGTTACGTTGACAAACGGCAGAAAGCAAAATGCAGCTTTGCCAGCATGGAGATCAAGGCTTAAGCCTGATCCCCGCCTGGAAAGTTCCCCAGCATAGCCGCCACCTGAAGGTGAGCCACAGGGAAAACATGGGCGCTGCGTGAATCGCCAAATTGCACGATGTATAATAGGCAATCTGAAATGAGTCTGAAATATAAACACACTTTCAGGGTATTCTCCATATATCAACCATAGGCAAGGTCTTTATATATTTGCCCGCATACCTCCCAATATAGGATACATGGAACTTCCACCATGTTTAGGTCATTTTCCTTGGCTTTCACATGCTTTCACCATTGACTTGTCCATGCCTATGCATGTGTACATGCCTCAGTTTTGAGACGCGGTCATTTTTTTGTTCTTGCGCGCTCTTCAACACGCTTCATGAGGAGCTTGGTCATGGGGTAAACCACCGCGGTCGCAGCGGTCATGGTTTCTATGAACATTTGAATTTGTCCCATGGTCCATAGAAGGAATCCAACACCAAGGATGAATCACATGGAGTGGCACCGACCGAACTGTACAGGATCCCCTGTATGAATGCCAAGCTCAACTTTTGCCTCACATGTTTCACTGATTGGAAACCTATACTCTGCGGCAAAATGAGTTGACTGTAGGCCCAAGATGCACCAGTGTCTAAAAGTAGGAATGGTGCTGCCTCAAGCTAAGTTTAAATGAAAATCACGGCTGCCCATCATCAGGGCAGCAGCTCTCGAGTAGATGCATTGTCAGCACCTGGGATCTCCTCAATGCGCTCGCCTACACCAACATCTGCAGAAGAATTACTTTTGTCCGGGTCAAGGCCGAGGTCTTCACCCACTTCACTGCTCTTGGCATTGCTGCAGGTGAGTCGCAAGTAAAGGTCTCGGTCAGAATCCACATAGTTCTTCTCCTTCATGCGGAGCGTTCTGCCGCCACAGGTCTTGGTGTTGTCAGTGCCCGACCAAACGCCACCTCCACCAATCTCCTCGGCGTAGTAGTACCAAATCTTGTTCTCCGTAATGAGGCGATCTCCGTTGTCCGCAAGGTAAAAGCCTTGGTTGGGATTGAGCTTCCACCAGCATTCTGTGGCCCACTGGCCGTTGGTGCGCTTGTAGCGGATGGCCACCTGCACTTTCTTGTGACAACTGTTCTTCACGTAGAAGAAATGACCCTTGAGATGGACACTCACTTGGACATAGGCTTGGGTTTGCCCTGAAATCCAAGGGCCGCAAATGCCCCATTGGCACTCACGGCCTTTGTAAGTTTCCCATCCACCTCTGGCCTCCACCCTCCAGCCACTTACATCCGCATGGTACCACTTCCCCTTCAAGATGTCGTTCCACAGCGTTTGCATGGCTTTTGGCCATATCCGTGAAGAATGCTACCACAGCGGCCTGGCCACATGCAGGGCAGGCGGCCCCGGCACTGGCAAAAGCACACACCGCACATGCGGAAACCGTGTTGATGATCAGGGTATCCCAGCGCTGTGGGGGCAGCCACCAGGACTTGCACCATTTTCCACTGGTTTCCAACTCATACGCTTCCGTTCCACAGAAGGCTTTGTTGATCTGCCGCTGCTTTTTCCACTTGTTGGTTTCATGGCCTGCCACCTTGTTCTTTTCATTGCCCAGCTCCATTTCATTGCCCACCTGGGTTTCATTGCCTGCCAAGCTCAGCACATGGAGGGAGGCCACCAAAATGCAGAAAAATCTCATGGCAATGACCAAACACAGCGGGGCGCAAGGGATTGAGCGAGAGGAGTCTTGAGCGGTCAAAATGGCTAACAACCTATAATTGCAGAATATTGCAGATACCTTGACAGAAAAACACATGAGCAGAATCGATGTCTTGGTATATCACATCTCTAACAAATAACAAACCGTTTCACCCAGCATCGAGGTCTCAGTTCCAGGCTAAAAGGCCGGCACCGCGCTTTCTCGGGTGGTCCTGCTGCTGGCGCCTACAGCAGGATATACAGTACAGTAACACTTTGCCCGCAGTGGTCCCAACCAGGAATGGACAAGTGCTTCCTTGTTTACACTGTGGTACACCCAACCTTTTTGGAAACAGTTGATAAATACTTGTCATGAATCATATCCCATATATCATATATATATACACATCGTAAAATATAGCACTAGTTCAGGGAGATATCCCACATATTTCACAATTTAGGGGAGAACTACCCCATAATAGCCCTGCTGTCACTGCACTTACCACATGAATGTCTTTGTCGTTGTCATCCAGGCATCCGCACCGGTGCTGCGCGGCTGCCTGACCAAGTGCTTGATTACATTTGATTACCAACGGGCATCCAAAATGCTGCCTTAAGGTTAGTGAAGCTGGTTTACAGTTTGATTAACCAGGGTAGAAGATGGATATATAGCTGGTGAATGTTAAAAAACAACTTTTTGTACAAGGTGGGGCCCCCTAGATAGCTAAGTTGGTTTATAACTCGAATAACTATGGTTTATGGTACCTATAACTATAGTTAATGGGGTTTGTAAACCATCTTATAACTGGTGGGCCCCACATTGTAGCTTGGGGGAGCCACCTGATTGATCATTGTACCTCAAGATTGACCCCCAAAAAATGTGGATACCCTGGGCCTGAGAAATAGTTGGCTATTCCACATGGCGAACTGGTGATTCAGGTCCCTATCAGGTTTACCCTCTGGTAATTTAACATAGCTATTGAAAATGACCATTTATAGTGAATTTTCCCATTAAACATGGTGATTTTCCATAGTTATGTTAGTTTACCAGAGGGTATTCCATGTTTCATTACCTTTAACACATGGGGTCTGAACATGGAGGGATATTCATAAATTGGCCAAAATGTAATTGGCGATGATGATTAATCATCCACATTACCCTCCAATACTTAACACAGATATACAAAACACACGATCTGCAGATCATTATGCTAAGAAAACCACGTGATTTCCATTTGTTCTTGTGAATTTACTCAAGGGTACCACCATCATCTCCCATGTCTCAGTGCCTTCTGGGGACGCTTCAGCATCCTTCCGCCCTGCATCTTTGGGCGAGGCGGCGGCGCAGGTCGCAGCTGATGACCTCGATGAAAGGAACCCCAAAAACCTGCTGTAGGGGCGCAAAGCGTGGTCAATGTCCTTCTAAAATGGAGCTGTTCTTTCAGTCACTGCAGATCAAAAAACAAACCACCGTCGTGATCCTATCAATGAGTTTGTAAATGTTTGCAATGTTTGATCAAACTCGTGATGATTTTGCGCACGGTAGGCAGAATATGACACAATAGAGGGGCTTACTTCGTTAGATCATATTAAAAATAGTTATAAATAACTATAAATATATTACATATATCCGCCGACCCCGGCCTTCGCCAAGGCAGGGGCGGCGCCTGGGACCACCGCAGGTGTGGACCTTGTCTTTCTTAGCAACAGGCATCCCAAGGCCACATCCATGGCTTCTTATGGGCGTCCAGCTTTTTCTGGGCGGTCCAGCGTGCCGTTCGCCAGGCATTCGCAGCCAACAGGCATCCCAAGGCCACACCAATGGCTTCTTATGGGCGTCCAAGCTTGCCGTTTGCCAGCCCCGAAACCCCTAAAACGCTTAAAACCCTCCAAACGCTCCAAACCCCTAAAACCCTCCAAACCCCTAAAAACCCTTCTTATGGGCGTCCAGCGCAGGCAATAGCTTCCCGATTCGCAGCCAACAGGCATCCCAAGGCCACATCAATGGCTTCTTATGGGCGTCCAAGCTTGCCGTTTGCCAGCCCCTAAACCCCTTCCAAACCCTCCAAACGCTCCAAACCCCTAAAACCCTCCAAACCCCTAAAACCCTTCTTATGGGCGTCCAGCGCAGGCAATAGCTACCCGATTCGCAGCCAACAGGCATCCCAAGGCCACATCAATGGCTTTTTATGGGCGTCCAAGCTTGCCGTTTGCCAGCCCCTAAACCCCTAAAACCCTCCAAACCCTCCAAACGTTGTTTTCTGGGCGGTCCAGCGTGCCGTTCGCCAGGCATTCGCAGCCAACAGGCATCCCAAGGCCACATCAATGGCTTCTTATGGGCGTCCAAGCTTGCCGTTTGCCAGCCCCTAACCCCCTACAACGCTTAAAACCATCCAAACGCTCCAAGCCCCTAAAACCCTCCAAACCCCTAAAACCCTTCTTATGGGCGTCCAGCGCAGGCAATAGCTACCCGATTCGCAGCCAACAGGCATCCCAAGGCCACATCAATGGCTTCTTATGGGCGTCCAAGCTTGCCCCCTAAACCCCTAAAACGCTTAAAACCCTCCAAACGCTCCAAACCCCTAAAACCCTCCAAACCCCTGAAACCGTTCTTATGGGCGTCCAGCGCAGGCAATAGCTACCCGATTCGCAGCCAACAGGCATCCCAAGGCCACATCAATGGCTTCTTATGGGCGTCCAAGCTTGCCGTTTGCCAGCCCCTAAACCCCTAAAACCCTCCAAACGCTCCAAACCCTCCAAACCCCTAAAACCCTTCTTATGGGCGTCCCCAAACCCCTAAAACCCTCCAAACCCCTAAAACCCTTCTTATGGGCATCCAGCGCAGGCAATAGCTACCCGATTCGCAGCCAACAGGCATCCCAAGGCCACATCAATGGCTTCTTATGGGCGTCCAAGCTTGCCGCTTGCCAGCCCCTAAACCCCTAAAACGCTTAAAACGCTCCAAACCCTCCAAACGCTCCAAACCCCTAAAACCCTTAAACATACGCTTTTTCCTTCACAGCGCCGTCCTTGACGGAAAACTTAATGCCACACACCGTGCGATGGTCTAGTTGCCCTGTCTTCACGTCACTGGCCACATTCCCTTTGCACGCGGGGCAAACGTAAACATACGCTTTTTCCTTCACAGCGCCATCCTTCACAGAAAACTGGTTCCCACACACCGTTCAATGGTTTATTTTTCCTGTCTTCACGTCACTGGCCACATTCCCTTTGCAAGCGGGGCAAATGTAAACATACGCTTTTTCCTTCACAGAAAACTGGTTCCCACAGACCGTTCGATGGTCTAGTTGCCCTGTCTTCACGTCACTGGCCACATTCCCTTTGCAAGCGGGGCAAATGTAAACATACGCTTTTTCCTTCACAGCGCCATCCTTCACAGAAAACTGGTTCCCACAGACCGTTCGATGGTCTATTTTTCCTGTCTTCACGTCACTGGCCACATTCCCTTTGCAAGCGGGGCAAATGTAAACATATGCTTTTTCCTTCACAACGCCGTCCTGCACAGCAAACTTGTTCCCACAGACTGTTCGATGGTCTATTTGCCCTGTCTTCACGTCACTGGCCACATTCCCTTTGCAAGCGGGGCAAATATAAACATACCCTTTCGCAACGACCTGCGCGTCCCACACCTGGAAACGGTTCCCACATGCACGCCGGTGATCTACCTGGCCCGTTCGTATACTGCTCGTCACAGACTTTTGGCAAGCGGGACAAACATATTGGAAACTTTTGCCTTTCGTCTCTGCTTTTGCTTCCTTCGCCAGCACCGTCACCGGCTCCGTCGCGGTGCCATTGTTCTGCTGTTTGCAGCTCCTTTCTGCCTGCCTGTCTGTGCTTCTTTCTGCACCGTCGTCTTCTCTACGTTGCTTCGCGTGCGGCGGGCCTTCCTGCAGATGGGCGATATCCTGGTCTCTTTTCTGTTTTCGTTCCACGCTGGCGCAGACATCAGCCGTTGGCCCCACCGCCCTCTGCCTTCCGTTGCTGTCTTCCCGTTTACCACCTACACCTGCAGGCCCTTCTGTGGTCATTTCTGTTCCGTTCTCTTGTTTGCGATGTTTTGCCTTCGGCTCTGCTTCCTTTGTTTGGAGGCTCTCCTGTTCTCTATGTTCCGCGATGGCGTCCCAGACATCGGCAATGGCGCGTGCCGCTGTCTCCTCTGCTGCCCTCCTCGCGACTTTCGCCTGCGTTGCAGCTACCCGCTGTACTGCTTTGCCGATGCTTCCCCGGGGAATGGGGCAATTCCAGCAGTTGTTACAGACTTGGTCACCATTGCACGAGCCATGTTGCGCCAGCCACGGTTTGAAAGCGAACGCTGCTTGCTTTACGTGGCATATGCTGCATCTCAACCAGCCCCATGCCTTCTCCGAACAAGCCAAGCACACTCTGCCGCCGTTGCGTGCCCGTTTCCACATGGCGGCAGAAAATTTCATTTCGTCCTTGCGTGTCTTGCAGACCCGACACAGTTGTGTCTGTTCGCACGTCGCACAAATGCGATAAAATGTGGCTTGTGGGCTTGCATGTTTTGCCTTGAATGCATCTTCCTGTTTCCAGGCCGTGCATGCCATGCATTGCCACGGCATCTGCGTCTCAACGTGCCGACGAATGCATTCTTTGCATACTCTCGCCGCATCTGCGCGTTTCCATCGACCAGCCGTGAATGCAGAAGCCGGCTTTGATTCAGTACATTCTTTGCATTCTCTTTCGTCTCGGTATTTCGCTCGCAGAGCGCGCTCCAATCCATTTTTTCACCACCCCAGAACCGCAACAGCAATTCCTGCCCTACTTTTGCGCCTTTTTGAAACGGTGCTGCAGGGAACGGTCTGTACACAAACAAACCATGCCTGTCTTGGACCCGCGTTAACGCAATGTAAGCTGTCAATGGGTCGCCTGCTTCCCCAATGTGCATGTGCATGACAACGCCTTCTTTGCAAGTTTGCCCTTGGGCTGCGTGAGCGGTGGTTGCAAACCCTGGAGCCAATGGAAACTGCTTCCGCGTCACACGGAGAACTGGCCGCCTTCGCCCCTT